AGAGAGAGAGAGAGAGAGAGAGAGAGAGAGAGAGAGAGAGAGAGAGAGCAAACAAATAGCTCCTGGGAATTTTACACACCGGAGAAAACTGAGATGCTAGGCGAAATTTCTCTCTCCCTGCCTCGACTTTCGCCTGCATTGCATCGAGGTCCGCCAACCCCACCAAACACTGAGCGCTAGCCATTTGTGCATTGCCTCGTCGGTAAACACCTCTTGTGAAACACAGCTGAGCTTCATCTCTTCGTCCCATCGTCCTTTCTAAATCCCCTAGTGCCTTCCACATATATGGATTTTCGGCATCTCTCTCAAGAGCGCTCAGGAGAATGCTCCTTGCTACTTCACGATCACCATGGTCCTGAAACCCCACAGGCAAGCAAAGCAGAAGGACGTGGGCAAACAGGAGACAAGCATCAGCTTTCATATCAAGGCAGCACAGACGCAGAGAATCATGGGCACACGCGTGCAAATTGATACAAAGGAAAATAAAACTCCATCAACCGAATTCATAACCGTTTCCTTTAAAATTCCTGCGCGGTCGCCACCTTCTTCCCCCAAATACAACGTATGGTCATTATAGCCGTATTTGGGGTATCTTTCATTCTAAATACAGCTATAATGACCATACGCTGTATTCGGGGGAAGAAGGTATTCGGCCGTGCATTACTCTTGGCAATGCATTGATAGAAACACATCACCCTCGATCGTCCATGACTCTGTCAATACATTGATAAACCACCCGTACCTTTCCCCACTTGAAAAACAATTCTGCAGCGGGTTACGCGGAAGGCAAGCAGGGTTCGCGCCACGGTTGATACATTTCATCAGCGGCCTGTGTTCCCTTTCTAGCCTCCGAAAGTCGCGGCGAGGGGCCCCGTGACCAGCCTGGACGACAAGAGTTGTTCGGTATGTAAAGTTGCAAACCATTGTTCGGTGAAGTCCATCCATTGGGAGCGTTGTTGCGCCTTTATCAGGAGTCGTGTTACCAGGCTTACCACCAACAGGCTGAGGTCTGAGGCTGAGAAAGTACTCAATGTAGTTAAGCCCAGTACACCAGCCTGGAAATCATACTAGGAATGTGGTGGGCTGTGGGTAAAGCCCCGTTTGATGACTGTCATGTGCTGGATTGAGGCGACGCACGAGAATTGCCGGTGTGATGGTTGCCTGTGTGGTGTGTGTGTTTGTGTGTTTTAATTTTCAGCACAACAGCCCCTATTCTACCCAGATGAGTAGATCGAAAATCGAAGCAGCGTTAGTACTATGGCAGACAGCGAAAACACTTGTGTTGAGACAATCCAACAATGTAACAGTTTACCTGTATAGCAAGTAACACGGAGCAAAATAGAAGCGTTTAAATCCCTTTTTTAACTGTGTTCGCTTTGGCTTTCGTTGGGTTACCCCTTTCATTTGCTCTTGCAGCTTCCCTTTTACTGTGCCTCTCATACGCAAAGCTCGCCACGTTGATCGTGGTCGAGCGAGAGCTTCCCGCATCCCCATGTGCCATAACGGCCCACTTGCACACTATGAAAGGAGGCAGAGTATAAAGACCGAGGTGTATTCCTGTTCATTTTTCCTCAGACCTTCAGCGAGTAATTGCAGGGGTCGGGTGGATATCACATTCGGTATGGTTCCACTTTTGTACACTGTGTCATGGCTGTAGTGGTTAAACCACCAGTACTTGGCCCAGCTATCGATGCCCAGCCTGAAAATGGGATGCGCGCCGTTTCGCGCCGACCCGCCATCGCAACAAGAAAAAATTGTTTTGGCTGGCGGCGCCAGCCTTTGAGGGACGGTACCCCGAGCCTCCGGAAGTTGCGGGGCATTAACGACAACGCCCTGCGGCCGATGTATGGGCAAAGTACTGGTGGTTTAACAGACTTGGCTCTTGAGGCCTAGGTCACCAGTTTGAGTCCATGGAGGTAAGAGTCCTGAGTGGTGTTCTGTGTGGGGTGAGTGAGTAGGACACTAACAGCCATCCAGAGGTGGGGTCGATATCACGACCGGTATGGTTCTGCTTTTGTACACCATGTTATGGTTGTAGTGGTTAAGAAATGTGGCTCTTGTAGCAGAGGGCGCAGGTTCGATTCTGGGCCTGCAAGGATGAAGCCCGAGGCTGAGGAAGTGGCGACTGACTAGCTCGGTTGCTACACCCATGCACTGTTGAAATACAGACCGGAGTTCAAATCCGAGTGGTGCTAGTCGAATGACGACTCTGAATTACCTGGGGCTGGTTAATTCGACTACAATAATCTCAAGGCCATCAGCCCATCGCCCTTTTTAGGAAAATAATGTTACCAGGCTTACCCTTGGCTCTCCATTCTGTTTTGTACTTGTCAAGTTCTGTGGCACCAAATTCTGCGGTACCAAATTCCGTGGTACCAAATTCCGCGGTACCAAGGTCCTCCTGTGGTACCAAGGTCCTCCTGGAGTGATGGCCCACCTCGGGCAACAGTGTGTGGACTGCAGAGACTTGACAGCTGGGGCTAGGTCCCACCAGCAAAGAGGAATGGATCTAATGCCTGAATGTGGACCTGTTTGTGGAGAGGAGGAGAAAATGGCAATTGATCTGCTTTTCTGCATCCCTCCATAAAACACATCCAGATGCAGACAGGCGCTTAATGCAGAGTCCTCGGTGATACTGTGATGCAGACAGGCGCTTAATGCAGAGTCCTCGGTGATACTGTGACTGCGCCCCTCAGAGCTGCAAGACACTGCCTGACTGCAATATCTTTTCTTTTCTTTCTTTTCTTTTTTTTTTCCAGAAGTGAAGCTGCAGTGCAACACCACTTGTTTGTCCACGAGGCCAAACTCGTAAGCAATCAAAAACCAAAAATGTTATCAACATGGCCTGGTCTTCCATCAGTAGTACCCATGGTAACCGCGGACCCAGACACTGGACACTTCCGGACTAGTGTCTGGACCGGTCCGGACTGTCCGATGATCCGGACATCACCGGACACCGGACAGTCCGGACCCTGTCTCTTATACACATCTAGATGTGTATAAGAGACAGCCCCCCCTTCCTCACACCTGGGCAACTCGTCCCCACCCCAAACCAGAATTTTATTGCAGATTCGGGGTCCTCTCGCCGAGCACAGGAGGACCCCACCTTCAAAAAATAAAAATAAAAAAATCTGGGCTGTTTTTTTGCCTGCCCGGTTTGCCCGGGCGGCCCACCCAGGCCCGCCCGGCCGGGCAGCGTCCATACTCAGGAAAAAAATAAAAAATTCAGAGAAATATGGCAGTTTCGGTGAAAAATTCGCCGAAAATGACACCACCTATTAGCCATTACTGGAAAGACTCGATTTGGAGAGTCCTAAGTAGATGGGCCGCCTGACTATGGAGCAGGCCTAGCGGAATATGGGGCTGCATGCCTTCACACTCCAAGAGGAACAGGAGTCCTAAGGCACCATCAAGCAAGAGGAGAGCACAGCTTCAGTACTTGGAGGAGAGCACAACTTCAGTACTTGGAGGAGAGCACAACTTCAGTACTTGGGGAGAGCGGACACACAAGAGAGAGTTCGCGGGAGACAGGACGCTTAGGAGGATTCTTCTTCACTACCGATACTTGGGAGTGATGGCACTTGACTTCTAGTTGGTGCAGAGAGTGGTAAAAGCAGTTCTCCACTGCACTGGCAGTACTGCGAGAGCCTTTTAAATGGGGTTGGTGGGGGACAGACTTGGCATTCTCCGTCGGTCCTTGTCAAGACAGACTTGACACATTCTCTTGACATATTCTCAATTTCTTCTTTGTACAGGTAGCTGGTCGATTCTCTTGGTTTATTATCACACACACACACACACACACACACACACACACACACACACACACACACACAGAGAGAGAGAGAGAGAGAGAGAGAGAGAGAGAGAGAGAG